ACATGTGCTTTGGTTGTCAAGCTTGGTTTCTATGATGACCATAGCAACATACTTAGACAGCAATGAACCAACATGTTACAGAACAACAAATTAAATTACCTATAGGGTGTTAACAACCTTTTATCAATATATAATTACATTGGAAAGAAACATAAAAGAGTAATACTAATCCTAACACTTACAAGGATATTTGTTGAACACAAATGTTAAAGATTAAAGAATATGCTTATAAATTAACTTTTATAAACATTATATACATCAAACAAATAAAAAAGAAAATACAGTACAAAATAAATGATTAACAAAATTCATTCTTATATCACAGAGTACATAAGAGGAAAACATGTAAACATTTTTGTAACATAATGTAATAGTGTTATCAGGCATGTTTTTCTTAAAATTTTGTTTTTCTGATCTTACAGTTAAATGTATAATTAAAATAAGAGAAAGAATATGAAGGTAAATTGCCTCTCCCTGTTATTGTGTTGCTCAAGTTGGTGTCCCTGTTATTGTGTTGCTCAAGTTGGTGTAAAACGTCTCAAACAATAATCTTAACGTAGTTGAATCATTCTGATATACAAAGATATTAGGATAGTTAACAGGTCATCTTATTTCTCCAACCATGTTAACATTTTGCCATGTTTTAATCAAAGAAATGATAAAAAAATAAGGCCACTAGTTCAAAGTTTAAGGTCACAGGAGCCTTAAATGTTAGAATGGTTTCCGCTGATTATCTTGAAAACTATTCATCACAAAGTCTTCATATATCACATACTGATTGGTCATAACTAGAAGATGACCAATACTCATGTTGGGGTAACTAGGGCAAGGTCACAGGGGCCTTAAATGTCAAAATGGTTTTGGCTGATTATCTTAAAAACAATTCATCACAAAGTTTTCATATTTCACATAGTGATTGGTCATCATTAGTAGATAACCCCTTTGATTTTGGGGTTGCTAGGTCCAAGGTCAAGGTCACAGGGGCCTTAAATGTTAAAATGGTTTCAGCTAAATCATTTTGAAAGATATTCATCACAAAGTCTTCATATTTTACATACTGATTGGTCATAACTAGTAGATGACCCATATTCATTTTGGGGTCACTAGGTCAACGTCACAGGCACCTTAAATGTCAAAATGGTTTCTGATGATTATCTTAAAAAGTATTCGTCACAAATTCTTCACATAGTGATTGGTCATCTCTAGTATATAACCCCTTTGATTTTGGGGTTACTAGGTCCAAGGTCAAGGTCACAGGGGCCTTAAATGTTAGAATGGTTTCTGCTTTTGGATCACTTGTTCAATGGTCATGGTCACAGGGGCCTTAAATGTAAACATTGTTTCAGCTTATTACTTTTAAAACTTTTTATCTCAAAGTCTTTATATTTTACATATTTATTAGTCATACTGGGGTCACTAGTTCAATGGTTTATGTCTTTATATTTTACTTATTGGATGGTTATAATTAGTAGGTCATTAATTTTTGACTCACCTGAGCTTGCTCAGGGTGAGCTTTTAGGATCGTTGAATGTCCTTCGTCTGTCGTTCGTCCACACTTGTTCGTTAACACTCTAATGGTCACATTTTTGCCTCGATCATATCAAGCTTGGTTAGGATACTTGCTTAGATTATAGCTCCAATGAGTTCGAACATGGGTCATCTCGGATGAAAAAAACTAGGTCACCGGAGCTCAAAATAGAAAAACATTGTTAACGCTCTAACGGTCACATTTTTGACTCAAGTGTCATCAAACTTGGTCAGGATGCTGGTCTAGGTTATTGCACAGATGAGTTCAAATATGGGTCATCTCTGATGAAAAACTAGGTCACAGGAGCTAAAAATAGGAAAATATTGTTAACACTCTAGTGGTCACATTTATGACACAATTGTCATCAAACTTGGTCAAGATGCTTGTCTATGTAATTGCGCAGATAAGTTTGAACATGAAAAACTAGGTCACCAGAGCTAATGAGAAAAATCTTGTTAACTAGTGGCTACTGTATTGATCCAAATATCCTGTAAATTGGTCTGAAAGTTTGTTAGGTCAGGTGAGTGATATAGGGCCATCATGGCCCTCTTGTTCTTTTTTCCATTTCTGAACACTTTCATGTACCCATTTATGACAAGTTTCTATAACAAAATTACCAATAATGTGAGTCAGGGGTAGTCAAGGGGTGGAAAGGGGCGCATATGTGTTTTTTGACATTTCTTGTTTCACAAATGCAGTCTTGTTTATTTCTTATAGATCAACATGTTTTGACTTCATGCGAAGTAGAAATATTATGTTTGAAGTTCCACACCCTATATATTATGAATATAAATTATAGTGTCATTCAAAAAGGAATTAATTCTACTTAACCTGTAATAGGGAACACAGCTTCCAACACATAGTTTGTTCATCATTTTATTCAAATTAGACATATTCAGTAAGAATTTAATGAATTTGGCACAATTATTACTTATGCGTACCCGTCCTGCCACAAAATAATAAGACTGAGATTTAAATAAAGTTTCCTTTTAAAAGAAAGGCTTGCACAGATGTGCCTTCATCCCAACCCTTTATTTTTTTTTTTTTTTTTTTTTTTTGGTTTCAATTTATTTTCACATTTTTTTGAATTACGATATTTGTATATCATAAAGGGTTTATTTAGTTGTTGTTTTTTTTTTTGGAGAAACGAATATTTTTTGTCAAAACGATTTGAAATCTATTCTCTATTGTATAAAACTAGTAAAGAAAATGATCAATCGTAAAAATACTAACGTGGAGATCATACTGAAGGGAAACAAGTGTGCACATTTCATTTCCCCTTTTTCGCAGAGAAATCATTCGTTTGCTTTATAGACAAGTAAATGCACTAAAATACTTCGTTACGTGGTACCAATTAATAAGCATGTATCAACTATATTACACGATCACAAATACGATGCGCTATATGTACATCAGCACGTGGCAAAGTTAATGATATGCATGGGCTATTTTTAGATTACCTCACGACTGAATTGCGTTCAGTAGATCTAAATATAACTCGATCATGCGTGATTTGGTAAGCAGGACCACCCTTTGAAGAGGGAATACTTCTACAGTCACCATTCTCTATTGTATAAAACTAATACAGACAAAAAACAATTATGAAAGAAACTAACTTGAAAAATAATTGAAACGGAACAATTTTGTTTATAATTTATTACGGTTTAATCCGATAAATCAAGTGAAAATAGAAATCCTATTTATATCAACAAACTGGGTTTACCAAAGTTACTAAAATAGCTTAGATTTCCCTAATATTACTTCGTCTGATTCCGCAGTATGACGGAATCGCCCGAATTGTCACGATTGCAATCGGAACTACATCGGCTTCTATCATTAATCCGAAGAGTGACGGAAAAGGCCGAAAAGTTGTGATTGGCACGATTGCAGCTGGTTTCCCGTTCAATCATGCACTAACAATTGGAAACAGGAAACCACCTTACCGGAACAAGTTATTCAAAACAAAAAAAAGTTTTGAGCTACACACTCATTCTGTATTCCAGTATATTGTATTGCGGTATATACCAGAAAAAGCGCTTGAATGATTAAATGCTATAATCTTAGAATGAACTTTAAAACGTATAAATTTATCTCTTCACAACGATTCATATTCGATATCGAATAAAAACTGTAAGAATTGGCGAAAAATATAACATATTTGTCATTTTTGTGTTGATTTTTTCTGCAAACGTCTAGAGTTACAGTCCCAACACTGTATCGAGTTAAATCCAAACAAGAAATGTGTCGTTACACTATGGACGCCCCCGCATGCAGCCAAAATTTCAGATGTTATAATATTTATTTCCAAATTTGTTGGACGAACATTTTTTTCATTTTAAATTCAAAACCCGTAAAACATTCAATGTTAATACATATCCAAATTTGATTCGAATATGTACAACTGTTAGGGAGATAATGTAGGAAACTGAAAATTTAATCAAGGGAAATAACTCTGTGAAAAACCAATTGACCATGACCAAATTCGAACTTGACCTGTATTTTTTATGATATATCAATAAGTTAAATTTGAGTTGAATTTGTGTGAAACATTTACTAAGATAATGAACGGAAACTTATGATGATGGAATGACGAAGGACGGAACAGGGTAACACTATATGCCCCAGCCATGTTATGCCGGGGGCATAATAAAACGTATGAAATGGAATTTCTGTGTCGTTACACTTCCCCTTCAGCTATAGGATATTCATCAAGGTAGCATTTTATTTAGGCCTTCTCAAGGTATGCAGTGCATACCTGCCGGTAGTGTATTTGAAAGAGCAACACGATCTGGTCTCGTGAACGTAACTAAGTTTAATGAAACAATTTACGGTAAAATAATTGGGAATCTTAAATAAAGTACATATGCGTGTGGTTGGATTAAAGGAAATGAGATGGTTACCACTGATTATTTACTGATGTAATGAAATATAAACATAAAGTAATGTGAATCTAGTGAAAAAGAAGTGTAAATGACAGGACACTTTGCAATCATTAGATCAAATTGTATGATATTATTGTTCCGGTTCGTTCGAAATATTATTAATTCTTTCAATTTTTAGAAGGAATAACCTTACTAAAATGGTTATAACAATTTTCACACGGTACTGGTTCAGAATTTAAACATTAGGGCTGTAAATGAAATCGGATACACGTTGTTCTTTGATAAAACAGTCCACTTAAATTGATTTACCTCCATAAAATGTAGGTCAATGCTTTACATAAAGTTCCTGTTAAAATGACGGGAAAACAGTGTCATCATATAAACTCAAATATTATAACTCATAATTTTGTTGCAGGTTACCAAGTTGTAAATATTTTGTACTTCTTTTGCAGAATTACTCTTTTAGCATTTCAAGTGGTAAAACAATGTTACATTGTTTTTATTTTCTCCTATTCTATTAATCCAATGCATCTTTCTTTGAAAATTAGCTTCTGTCTAGCCATGGTAACATGAATTTGATATATTTATAGAAACCATTTAAAGACAACCCAATCACTAAACGACTGAACACAATTGCAGACTTTTGTTTAAAAAACAAGAAAGTGGATGGCTACAAAAGCAAAGTGCAAAATGGCTTAAGAGATTTAGTAAGTATTTTTATTTAAAAATGTACCATTAAACTTTTGACAAAAATATTTGAATATAAGTCAGTAGGATCAGTCAAGTGGCTATTAAAATAACGGCTGTATTTTTTTCAAGCTGATAAATAGAACTTGCGAAAGCAACCCTTGGCTTTCTATAGCAACCAGTGACTATAACTGCAACCATTGACTATCTTTAGCAACCAACTTCCATAGCAACCTTTCAATTGCATCCAGTGGCTTGCGAAAGCAATCATTGACTCTCTATTGCAACCAATGACTCTTATTGCAACCATTGTTAGCTCACCTGAGCATGCTCAGGGTGAGCTTTTAGGATCGATAATTGTCCTTCGTCCGTCCGTCGTCCGTCCGTTCACATTTTGTTGTTAACACTCTAGCAGTCGCATTTTTGCCTCAATCATCATCAAACTTTGTCAGGAAGCTTGTCTAAGTGATAGCTCGGATGAGTTCGAACAAGGGTCATCTCGGATGAAAAAGTAGGTCACTGGAGCTAAAAGTAGAAAAACATTGTTTACACTCTAGCGGTCACATTTTTGCCTTAATCATCATCAAACTTGGTCAGGATATGCTTATCTAGGTGATAGCTTGGATGAGTTCGAACATAGCTAATCCTGGATGAAAAACTAGGTCACCGGAGCTAAAAATAGAAAAACCTTGTTAACACTCTAGCGGTCACAATTTTGCCTCAATCATCATCAAACTTGGTCAGGATGTTTTTCTAGGTGATAGCTTGGATGAGTTCGAACATTGGTCATCTCGGATGAAACTAGGTCACAGGAGCTTAAAATGGAAAAATCTTGTGAACACTCTAGTGGCTTCTGTTTTGATCCAAATATCCTGTAAATTGGTCTGAAAGTTTGTTTTGATGATTTCTAAGTCAAGTTCGAACATGGGTCATCTTGGATGAAAAACTAGGTCACACCGCCCAAAATTGGAAAAACATTGTTAACATTCTAGTGGTCACATTTTCTACTCAATTATCATCAAACTTGGTCAGGATGCTTGTCTAGGTAATTGCTCGAATGAGTTCGAAATCGCATGTGAAACTAGGTCACCTGAGCTAAAAATAGAAAAATCTTGTTAACACTCTAGTTGCTACTGTTTTGATCCAAGTATCCTGGAAATTGGTCTGAAAGTTTGTTTTGATGATTTCTAGGTCAAATTTGAATATGGGTCACCTGGGTAAAAAACTAGGTCACACTGCTCAAATATGGATAATCCTTGTTAACACTGTAGTGGTCACATTTTTGACTCGCCTGTCATGAGACTAGGTCAGAATGCTTGTCTAGGTAATTGTTTGGATGAGTTTGATGGGTCAAGTGAGCAATCTAGGGCCATCATGGCCCTCTTGTTTTATTTAGCCACCAACTTCCTGCAACCATTGAATTTCCATAGCAACATTTCAATAGCATCCAGTGGCTTGCGAAAGCAATCATTGACACTCTATTGCAACCAATAACTCTTATTGCAACCATTGATTTTATTTAGCCACCAACTTCCTGCAACCACTGAACTTCCATAGCATCCTTTCAATAGCATCAAGTGGCTGGCGATAGCAACCATTGACTTTTCATAGCAACCAGTGACTGACTTTTATTGCAACCATTGACTTTCAATAGCAACCATTGACTTCCATAGCAACCACAGAATTTTCAAAGTGACCATGGACTTCTATGGGAACCTATGACTTTCTTCAGCAATTTTTGACTTCCATGACAAACAGTTAATTCAAGTACAAATTAGTGACTTTCGATAAAAAACATCGACTTTCAATAGCAAACATTGACTTTTCATAAGAAACATTGACGCCCATAGCAACCGATGACTCCCATAGCAACTGTTTGCTCTCCATAAAAACCATTGGCTTCCATAGCACTAATGACTTCAAAGCAGCCATTGTCTTTTCATAACAAACTGTAAAATTTCCGTAGCAACCAGTCACTTTCATAACAAGCATTGACTCTTTACATAGCAACCAGTGACTTCCATAGCAACCAGTGAATCTACCATTGATTTCATAGCATTCACTGACTTGCAAGAAAACCACTAAATTTGTATGGCAACTAGTGACATCTTTAGTAACTATTGATTTCCCTTAGCAAAAGCAACTTGTAATGTTTTACAGGTATACTATTTCAGATACACATATTAACTTCTATTCAATATTAGTATAAGATTTAGATTTTATACCTGCTTTCGCTAATAGTTTATAATATTATTTTGTTCCTTGTCATTAAGAGTATTTACATTCAGTTGAGCAATATAAGGGTCTCTTGTACATGTTATGCCTTTTTAGCTCACCTGTCACAAAGTGACAGGGTGAGCTTTTGTGATCGCTTTTCGTCCGGCGTCCGTCCGTCTGTCCGTCGTCCGTCCGTCCGTAAACTTTTGCTTTAAATGACATCTCCTCATAAACCACTGAGCCAATTTCATCCAAACTTCACAGGAATGTTCCTTTGGTGGTCACCTTTAAAAATTGTTCAAAGAATTTAATTCCATGCAGAACTCTGGTTGCCATGGCAACCAAAAGAAAAAACTTTAAATATCTTCTTTTAAAAAACCATAAGAGCTAGAGCTTAGATATTTGGCATGAAACATCTTCTAGTGAGTGTCTACCAAGTTTGTTCAAATAAAAGCCCTGGGGTCAAAATTGGCCCCGCCCCTGGGGGGTCATTGATTTTCCCTATATGCATATAGTAAAAACTTAAAAAAATCTTCTTTTAAAGAACCGTAAGAGCTAGAGCTTAGATATTTGGCATGAAACATCTTCTAGTGAATGTCTACCAAGTTTGTTCAAATAAAAGCCCTGGGGTCAAAATTGGCCCCGACCCAGGGGTTCATTGATTTTCCCTATATGCATATAGTAAATATTTAAAAAATCTTCCTTTAAAGAACCCAAAGAGCTAGAGCTAAGATATTTGGCATGAAACATCTTCTAGTGAGTGTCTACCAAGTTTGTTCAAATTAAAGCCCTGGGGTCAAAATTGGCCCCGCCCCGGGGTCATTGATTTTCCCTATATGCATATAGTAAAAACTTAAAAAATCTTCTTTTAAAGAACCATAAGAGCTAGAGCTTAGATATTTGGCATGAAACATCTTCTAGTGAATGTCTACCAAGTTTGTTCAAATAAAAGCCCTGGGGTCAAAATTGACCCCGCCCCAGGGGGTCATAGATTTCCCCTATATGCATATAGTAAAAACTTTAAAAAAATTCTTTTTAAAGAACCCAAAGAGCTAGAGCTAAGATATTAAGCATGAAACATCTTCTAGTGAGTGTCTACCAAGTTTGTTCAAATTAAAGCCCTGGGGTCAAAATTGGCCCCGCCCCAGGGGGTCATTGATTTTCCCTATATGCATATGGTAAAAACTTAAAAAATCTTCTTTTAAAGAACCATAAGAGCTAGAGCTTAGATATTTGGCATGAAACATCTTCTAGTGAATGTCTACCAAGTTTGTTCAAATAAAAGCCCTGGGGTCAAAATTGACCCTGCCCCAGGGGGTCATAGATTTTCCCTATATGCATATAGTAAAAACTTAAAAAGTCTTCTTTTAAAGAACCCAAAGAGCTAGAGCTAAGATATTTAGCATGAAACATCTTCTAATGAGTGTCTACCAAGTTTGTTCAAATAAAAGCTCTGGGGTCAAAATTGGCCCCGCCCCAGGGGGTCATTGATTTTCCCTATATGCATATAGTAAAAACTTAAAAATCTTCTTTTAAAGAACTCAAAGAGCTAGAGCTAAGATATTTAGCATGAAACATGTTCTAATGGGTGTCTACCAAGTATGTTCAAATAAAACAAAAACTTAAAAATCTTCTTTGGAAAAACCCAAATACCTAGAGTTTAGATATTAAGCATGAAACATCTTTAAGTAAATATCTACAAAGTTTGTTAAAATAAACGCCGGGGGGTCAAAACTGGCCCTGCCCCAGGGGTGACATTGTTTTTAACTATATGTGTATAGTAAAAACTTTAAAAATCTTCTTTTAAAAATGCCAATGAGCTAGAACTTAGATGTTTAGCATGAAACATCTTCTTATGGGTGTCTACCAAGTCTGTTCAAATAAACAAATAAAAGCCCTTGGGTCAAAATTGGCTCGGGGGTGGGGGGCCTATATACTGGTGAGCGACCTCAGGGCCATCATGGCCCTCTTGTTTAACCTTTTACCCCATTAGCATATTGTGAAAATGGTCGTTTTCATTGAAAAGCCTCCTGTTACAAGTTCCAACTGCTATAAAACTATGAAAAATGCTTCAAAACTGATGAAAATTGGCACATATGTTGACTGAACCATAACCTCTGTAAAACATGCTTAATCATAAAAATTTCCTGTTACCCTGACAAAGGGGGTACGTCTCAAAATTAAGAAAAATTTTGCATTTGTTTTTTTTTTCTATCAGAACTGATTTTAAAGTGCTGCAACTTCTCAATGCAATGAGATAGAGTAAAAGGCTTTTCAGCGTGGGTTACGCGTTTCCTTAAAATCGACCTGAGGCCATTTTTAGCCTGTCACATGTCCAAACTTTTCTTGGCGATGAGGGGGACTACAGCCCCCTTCAAACCCCCCAAACAGAATGGGGCTGATCCCCCTTCTGGCAACCCTCTGATGTATCATTTTGATACATTGTTATGTATCATTTTGATGGGGGGGGGGGGGCTGTGCCGAAAAGTGGTCACTTTTTCAAGAACATTTCTCAAACGAAAAATCAGTGTTTTGGGACCTAAATAAGGAATTTTTCACTTTCATTTTTGGACCATTGCCTTTGTAACAACATGCTCAGTCTTAAATTTCCTGTTACCATGGCAACGAGCGGACATCTCAAAACTGCCAAAAATCACTATTATGCGCTGATTTTTTTCCCATCAAAATTGATATCAAACTTTTCAATGGATTGAGATAGAGTCAACTACTTTTCTATGTTGGTTATACGTTACCTTATGATCAACCTGGGGTCATTTTTAGCCTCTCCCAAGTCCAAAATTTTTCTTGGAGATGAGGGGGTTGCCTCTCTTCAGACCCCCCAAACAGAAGGGAGCACATCTGGCAACCCCCTGATGTATCTTTTGGATAGGGGCGGCGCCGAAAAAATGGTCACTTTTTATACAATATTTTTTAAACAAGAACAAGTATTGGGGGCCTAAATAAGGCAATTTTTTACCATTTGAGACAACAGAAGGGGGGTGGGGTTGAAAAGGCATGTATATCGGGTAATGGGTTAAAGGTTATGACATCTAGCAAGAAAGATGTTTGCTTTCATGGAATTTTTTGAGGTCATGAACTCTAGTGATAGTGATGTTTGCTTTGCAGGGATATTTATAAAATGATTTGAGCATATTATGAGGATATTATGGTTAACACAGTGTATATAATGATGATTTAAAATCATTTACGAGTATAATATTATGTCGTTTTTTATGTTTTCAGACATTGGTTATGCTTAATTGAAAAGATGGTATTTAAGAAATGTATTTCAATTTTAGATACCACAATTTTTATCAAGGAATGTTTTTATTTGAATCAATTACAGTAAAAACCCTCAATTAAGACAACCATCGGGACTGGACCAAAGTGGTATCAATTGTAGGTTGGTCTTAATTGTGAATATTCTTATCATTGCATACACACTTTTTGACCATGGTCTATTGAAGTTATTTTGTATGAACAAACAAATCTTAACCAACAACTACAATATAAAAGTAAGTAATAATTTAACATCTGATGGGAAGGAAGAAATTTAATATCAAATTCTATTTGGTCTAATTTCATAATTAAATATTATATGATGTACATGTACATAACTCATCCATCAAATTAGAAATTAATTCTTCGCATAATCAATGTGCTTAAAGCAACATTTAACCACTCTAAAATTTACTTTCTCACCTTATTTCATACAATATCCCAATGATATAAGGTGTTTTGACGGAAGACGGACGAAACCCCAACAGTCAAAACCCCACACCTCAAAGTTTTATAGAGTTGTTGACAAAACCCCACACCTAAATTTTACAGAGTGGACAAAACCCCACACTTTCAATTTTACATAGTGGACAAAACTCTACCACCTTTAATTATTGGGCAAGATTGGATTGATTAAAATACATGTAATATTCATATATCTTAGTATAATATAACACATTATTATTATTTTTTATTTCAAATGCATATCAAATTACATTTGTTTTTGACACCTTTTGAAATCAAGTGTCATGCTTAAGAGCATTCAAGCAGATAATAACAACATATCAATAAATTCAAGATATAGGTAGCTTTTGTCTTTAAATCAATGGTCTCAATAGTGGGGTCAGAAAAAGAACAAAACAAAGAATTGGGACTGAATCTTGTGGTCTTAAAAATGGATAAGCGAGGTGGTCTTAATTCTGGGCCATATAACCATTGACATAAAGAACAAAATTCCGTACTTTTAAAAAATTGCCTTAATTAAGGGGCGGTCTTAATGCCGGGGTGGTCTTAAGTAGGGATTCTACTTTATTATACTATGGTCTTTGTGCATGATCATTTGACACATCTACTCATTGTCTTTCATTTGAAATGCTGAAAAATGACATTGACCCCGAAATGCACCAGAAACTTTTACATAATGGCAAAGTCCAATCAAATAGAAACAAATAAAATATGATTTGTTCCTGCTTTTTAGTGTAATGCAATGGGATATCAGTTTTACACAAATAAATCTTGTTATTCCTGATACATGTTTTCCAGTCTTGTCAATACACTTAAATCAAATGAATATGTAAAATATTTTTGTACACAAAAAAATCAAGTATGATATTTTTTTCAGATGATTGATATAGATGTTACTGAGGAGAGAGATCCAGATAAGTGTCATCTATGTATGGTAAATCCTAAAGGTAGTGATGATCTTTAGAATGCATTCTTATTTTGGATATATTCTCTAATAAAAAATAACATGTAGCAAAAGTGAATGCAATGTGCTGTATTTATTCTGCAGAAGCTTACAGACTGGTACACACCGTATTACAGGCGGCAGTGATGGCAGATCACTGCAGTGATGGCAGATAGCTGAAATTAACCGCTCGGTACAGGTAGGTTATGAATTTGGTTGGTATTATTATATTATACAAATACGGCCCATTTCATTGCTATGGAAGTATTGTCCATTGACTGGAGATACTTTTAGGTAATTTTGGACTCGTTTTTCCTGTTTTTAGACTATTTTGAGCAGGATAAAAGTGACAGCTTCGGAAAAATCCGTGAAAATGTCTGTTTTTTTTCAAAATATCTCAAGTTTTAACTAAATGGCAGGATTTCGTGTGATTAATATAAATGTTCATCCATTGGGGTCACGCAAGCCAAATATCTATCCCGTGAGTCTTATCTTGAAAGTTTTACAGACGTTCAATCTGGTCCGGTTGAAGAAAAAATGCTGCCGTTGTAGGCAGATACTTATTTTAAATGCTGCCGTCGATGGCAGAAATACCATGAAAGTGGCTAACATTCTGACAGAAAATCAAAGTCAATCTTTTATCAATTCCTCCATTCTTTGCGCCCGTTTAGTCGGAATTGAGACCGCCTCCGTGGTCGACGGGTAAGAGTCGATGACTTCTAATCCAGTTACCTCTCTGGCGTGGGTTCGATCCCCGGGAGATGCTTTGGTAGTTAAGCACGGAGGAAGGTAGTCTAGTACTGGTGCAACTCTCCAGGAATGATGGTTAGGAAACTACCCGCCTATATGACTGAAATACTGTTGGGAAAAGGCGTAAAATGAAACAAACAAAATAGTTGGAATTGAGACGTTAAACTATCATCTCTAATATTTTCTCGTGAAAGAAAAGTAATTAATGCGGTATGTGCATCGAAAAAGCTTTTTAGCAACACGCAGATAAAATACAAAATGTGATGATTCAGAACGACCAAATTGCACTATAAAAAGAGCAATTGATATGAAGAAATTCAGTTTTCTATATTCATGCATGTGTGCTTGCTCGTTGTGTCTGTCAGTTTTATGCTTACAATACCATATGTATCTTAAGTTTAGCAGCGCATAATTCACTGCCTTTTCAAGACATAGCGCCATTTGCATATTACAGCTGTAACTTTAGTAAGTGTATATTCATTTGCTTGCATATGACATTATTTTCTCTAGGTAATAATGCAATCGCTTTATGACATATAAAATCTTAAATTTACTTAGTCGGCGCTATTTGTCATAAAGCGATGAACCTCGAGAAAATAATGTCATATGCTAGCTAATGAATATCCACTTACTGAAGTTACAGCTGTAATATGCAAATGGCGTTAACGTTATGTCTTGAAAAGGCAGTGAATTATGCGCTGCTAAACTTAAGATACATATGGTAGTGTATGCAATGTAACTGACAGACACAACAGATCAGGCACACATTCATGAATATAGAAAAATGAATTTCTTCATCTTAATTGCTCTATTTATAGTGCAATTTGGTCGTACTGAATCATCACATTTTGTATTGTATCTACGTGTTGCTAAAAAAATCTTTTTCGATGCACATACCGCATTAATAACTTTTCTATCTTGAAAAAATATTAGAAATGATAGTTTAACGTCTCAATTCCGACTAAAAGGGCACAAGAAATAGAGGAATTGATAAAAGATTGACTTTGATTTTCTGTCAGAATGTTAGCCACTTTCATGGTTTTTCTGCCATCGAAGGCAGCATTTAAAATAAGTATCTGCTTACAACGGCAGCATTTTTTCTTCGACCGGACCAGATTGAACGTCTCTAAAATTTTCAAGAAAAGACTCACGGGGTCGATATTTGGCTTGCGTGACCCCAATGGATAAACGTCTATATTAATAACACGAAATCCTGCCATTTAGTTAAAACTTGAGACATTTTGAACAAAAAAAAGGACATTTTCGTGGATTTTTCCGAAGCTGTCACTTTTTATCCCGCTCAAAATAGTCTAAAAACAGGAAAAACGAGTCCAAAATTACCTAATAGTATCTCCAGTCAATGGACAATACTTTCATAGCCATGAAATGGGCCGTATTTGTGTTATATAATAATACCAACCAAATTTATAACCTACCTATACCGAGCGGTAAATTTCAGCTATCTGCCATCACTGCAGTGACCTGCCACTGAGATCATACTTTGATATCGTACATAATCATTGATACTATTTTTCAATTGTACGTACAATTGTAACCCGACAAAAAAATGGCAGACGGCCAGCCCATTTCAGTGTGTATTCTAGGATTTGAAAAATGAGAATTTTTTGTCGAAAAATGAGAGTTTATTACATTTGTTGATTGTTTCCCTTCTTTCTTTAGGTAAAATTCCCCCCTGCCTCTGAAAAAAAGGGGGGAATTCTCAAAAATATGGGTGAATCCCCCCCATCCCCCCTCCTAGAATAGACACAACAATTTATGCACCCCGTGTTGAATTTTTTGACGTCCATTTTTGTTACCATATTAAATTATTCATTCTGACTAACGAAAGACACGCGTTTAAGGTCTACAGGAAGAATTGTTCAAATTTTGTTAATTGTATATAACGCTGTCAAAGTACAGAGATAATAAACTAATTTACTATCTGACCAAACGCTGGAATTGGAAGGACTATAGTATTGAAATTATACTTTTAAAACAACAACTCTTATACCAATAAAAAGTTAAAAACTGAGCAGCATTGTTCCTTGCATGAAGCCCTTTTGAAATTGTTCAAAAAATTTCATTCTGTCCTAAAAAAATAACAACTTAAAACATCTTCTTGTAAAAAACGCTAGGGCTTAGATAAATGGCATGAAAAACCTTCTTGGGGATGTCTACCAAGTTTGCTCAAATTAAAGATCTAGGGTCAAAATTTGCCTCGACCCAGTGGGTCATTGATTTTCCTTATATGTATATAGTAAAAACTATAAAAAAAATCTATAAAATAAGATAAGGAGCTAAAGTTAAGATAATTAGAATGAATCATGTTTTACTGGGTATCAACCAAGTTTGTTCAACTAAAGGCCTTGAGACCAAAAACTGCTTAAATAGGATCAATCATTTTATATTGACTATATGCATATAGGCATTTCAGTACATTCCATTATGGCTTGATTTCCTCCCTTTTAATAATATTAAGTAAAGTTTTGCATTGATACGAAGAAAATGAATAAGATTTTTTAATTATAACTTTTGTATTTATGGTTATTTAGATAGAAGAAAATATTTATCTAATAAAAATATATCTTCTTGATCACAATCATCTGTACAAATAACTGCAATAACTGTAAGAAAATCTCAATGTAAGTCCAATCCAAACAGTCCAGATAGCTCAATAGGTACGTAGAGCAATGGACTGTTAAGTTGGACTGTGACCTGGGTTTGGGTGACCTGGGTTTGATTTGTTTCTCAGGGTGACGTGGGTTTGATTTGATTCCCAGATGCGGCCTCGGCTTGTTGTGATTGATCATGAAATCCTTTCTACCGTCATTTGCACTGTACCTCTGCTCTGGCATGTATTCCTTATAAAAGTGAAAGCAACAAATACTGGTAATCTGCTTGACAGCTTGCCCAGGAACGATGCGGTGGTTGAACTGTGCTCTGGTGAATTAAATGTTGCTTACTGTTGTGATCCAGAGTGAAAACTACAAACACCACCACTATGTAAGCACATGTGGCACTTGAACTGCAAAGGATATTTCACAAAGTATAAACTAACACATGGCTGCTATCGTAATTCACTATGGTGAATTTAGGAATACACATCTTGACCACATTAAATGCTGATAAGTCCAAGCTATCTGTAATTTTATAATTTATGTTGTGTTACTTCTATAAATGCAATATAAACTGCAGTTATGCCCTATGTTTAAACCATGTAACCCAAATTTTATAATGATCTTATGCTCATATGACCTCTTTGTACAGTGGACCTCTAAAATTCTTTTTCAAATAATAGACCTCAGGTCAAAGTTGGCCCTGCCCCGGGGAACATAAACTTTCTATTTATGTATATTTTAAAAACTTTAAAATGTAAAAATATCTCTAAATCTTCAGAAGTTAAAGCTTAGTTACCATAGCAGCCAGTGACTTCATAGCAGCCATTTACTTTATAGAACTGTAAATATTCATAGCAACCAATGATTTCCATAGCAATTATCATCTTTTTTAAATTGAATTTCAAAGCAGGCACTGACTGACTTCTAAGGAAACCATTTCATTCATACAGCAATCAGTGACTTCTTATGTAACTGTTGTTTTTCCTTAGCAAAAGCATCCAGTCATGTTTTTACATGTGCAATAACTCAGATACAAATGAAGATTTAGATTTTATATTTGCTTTTGTTTATATTTTACAATATTACTTGTTCCTTGTCTTCGGAAGTATAAATATTCAGGTGAGCCCCTTGGGTGGGGTCAATATTGAACCAAGGGGCATGATTCGTATAATTTTTGTAAAGGTCACTAAGTTAATGTAATTATGCTAAACATCTAAGCTATAAACATTGTAGTTTCACACAATAAAACATAAATGTGTTTTCCTATGTATGTCTTTATAGATGGAGTGATTCCGGTGTGAGGCTAATTTTGATTTTAAAAAAATATGTGTCCTGCATATCGTCTCATTATAAGTTATATGATAAATTTGAAATAAATACAAAATGACTTTGTGATCTTGACCTTGACATGAGGAAGTAAAAACCTGTGTTCTGCCCATTAGTTTTCTTCATTATGATTAACATTTCGGCCAAGAGGTTTCAATTTCCTTCCATGGGTTCAAAAAATACATTTCCTATATTAAATTTAGTCCATTATATCAAGTTATTTCGAGGGTGGGCCGATTTTGTTATCAGGAAGACCAAGTCTGTGTTATACAAATAGTCTATAAGTACTGTTTCTGCTTTAAAGTGTTCATTTATTTCTTTAGGTTAAATAGATACAGAGCGGATACTTAATTTTGACATTAATACAAAATAACTGTGGCCTTGATCTGAAGAAGGTCAAACCTGGGATCTGCTCATAATCTCATTACGATTAACATTTCTGCCAGTTAGTTTCAATTTCCTTCCATGGATTTAAAAGATACAGAATGACCAGGTGCATGGCAATATACACCATTTTTTGTCCGGACATATAACAAGAAGTAAAAGCAGAAACCATTAGATTTGCAGATGCATTTATTCAATTAGAAATACAATAATATTTTTGCTTGATTAATACCGGTACTTAAAAGGAAATTTATTTTATATTGACACACTTTTTTTAAATTCAGCTGGAGATGTAAAAGTTGCTAACCATCACTGCATTAATGTTTGTGTATCCTGCGAAAAAACTAGTTTTCTGAATCCAATAAGATGCCATTGTGGCAATGAAATACAACCTAGGATTGGTAAGTACATTTGGTTGTAAATCACCTGTCAAAAAAGTCCCTTTAATTTTATGTGTTATCTTAAAAAAATTCTTGTTAAAAACCACCTTCTTGTAAAAGACCACTAGTCCAAAAATGAACCAAATTAGCCAGGATTATTCCTTTGGTGAAAGGCTTCCAAAGTTACTCAAAGAATTTGATTTTATGTAGAAATCTTGTTTGCCATGATATCAAAATTATTAACAAGTAAGAAAACTTTTATTTTCAATCAAATATAATTATGTTACGGCCTTTGTATCTAAAAATTGACACATCTGCACATTTCCTTTATTTGACATGCTGGAATATAATCATTGACCAATGAATATACTACTTGTTACTTCTGCCTTATGGTTCATCAGAAGCAACAACAAAAATCTACATCTGCTCCTACTATTTAGTATTGTATTATTGCGTTTACATAGCTGTCAAAAATGCAATCTTGTTTACTTCTACCTTCAATGCAGAAGTTTTGGTAATTCGAATATTTTATTTCTGATTGTATTTTCTCCATACATAGACATAATGGCCTTGGCTCATTAATGACCTTGACCTTCAAGGTATATTTTTTTAATTCTGCTTGCTATTTGGTATAACTGGCACATTATATCTATGACTGGATAGTTTTAAAACTTTGAAATAACATTCCTTTAAGTAGACTAATTGACGGTTACTAATGCATGATATTTAAGGTCATTTTATTTTTTTTAAACTTGACTATAACACAGAAGCTGCCACATGCTACAAAGAAGCAAGGACATATATAGGGATCACTAATCCCTCATATGTATGTCTGTCCGTCTGTCTGACCGTCCGTCTGTCACAAAATATGTCAGGAATTTCATCAAAACTTTACAGGAATGATCAGTGTCAAAAATGCTCGCCCATATGGTCTCTTTCCGGTGGCGAGGGTAAACAAACCCAAACACACACACAGTGTCAAATCTAGATGTACATGTCTGCATTTTCTAGTCAATGATCATGCCCCCACTTCAAAGAAGCGGTGGTATATTGCTTTGCATTTTTCTGTATGTTGGTCAGTCCAATTGGGTTTGCGAGTGATAACTTAAGAACCCTTAGGCCTAAAAACTTCAAAATCTTGGTATGATGATTACTCATGACCAGTAGATGACCCCTATTGTTTTTCGGGTCAAGGGAACAAAGGTCAAGGTCACATAGACCTTGTTGGTAAAAACGGTTTCCAATCAATATCTAAAGAACGCTTTGGCCTAGGAACTTCAAACTTGGCATGATGATAAATCATGACCATTAGATGACCACTATTGATTTTTGGGTCAAAAGTCAAAGGTCAAAGTCACATTGACCTTGTAGCTAAAAACGGTTACTGATCAATAACTAAAGAACTCTAAGGCCTAACAACTTTAATCATGTTTGATGATTGTTCATGACCAGGCGATGACCCCTATTGTTTTCGGGTCAAGGAGTCAAAGGTCAAGGTCATATTCACCTTGGAGGTTCGGATCAATAACTAAAAAACGCTTAGGCCTAGGAACTTCTTACTTGGTATGATGATTGCTCTTGACCAAAACATGACTCCTAATGATTTTGGGGTCAGTGGGTCAAAGGTCAAGGTCATATTTATCTTGTTGTTGGAAAAAAAGTTGACGATCAATAACTTGACAACCCATGAGCCCTAAAACTTCGTAAGTGCATTTGACCTAACAATTAGATGATCCATATTGATTTTCGGGTCAAGATGTAAAAGGTGAAGGTCAATATTGACCTTGTATGTGAAAACGGTTTTCGATCAATAACTTGACAAGCTCATAGCTGCTGGCCCTCAAACTTTGTAGGTGCATTGGTCTTGGCCAGTAGATGACCCCTATTGATTTTGTGGTCAGGGGGTCAGTGTCATATTGACATTGTACTTAAAGACGGTGTCTGACCAATAACTCAACTAACTCAAGTTGCCTTGGGTGATATCTTTATATTAAACTAAAAATGTTTTTCGTTTACAGATTTGAAGGTATTTATGTAATGTAACGACTTGCTGTCATTAATGAGGCCTACATGATTCATAAAATTTATGCATATGTTATTTGATAAGATTGGTAATAACTTTGTCATAAAATTTCTGCACACAATCTATGTGGTCAGAATGATTATAACCTAGTGACTAGTCATGACCAGTGGATTACCCTTATTGATTTTTGTGTCCCCACTATAGGTGGGCATTTATATTTACCCTTGTCCGTCCGTACATCCGTCCGTCCGTTCCCATTTTGTGTCGCACATGTCTCAAAAAGTAATTGACCTAGAGTCATGAAACCTTTGAGGAATGTTGCTCAGCATGTGAAGTTGTGCACCTGGGTATTTTCGTGTGAATATTTATAGTATTTTTAGAGTTATTGCCCTTGAATTAATAAAAATTTACAATTTTTCAACTTGTGTCGCACGTTACTAAAACTGTATTGAAACCTTACAGGAATGTTGCTCAGCATGTGTAGTTGTGCACCTGGATATTTTCATGTGGATAATTTTAGTATTTTTGGAGTTAATGCCATTGACTTAGTAAAAATTTACAATATTTAACTTTTGTTGCATGTTACTCAATAAGTTTATGACCTGTATGCCTGAAAGTTTACAAAAATGTTGGTCAGCATGTGTACTTATGCACCTTGGGGTTTTCTTGTGGATTTATTCAGTCTTTGGAGTATTTGCCCTTTACTTAATAAAAGATTTTTAGTTTTCAACTTGGGCACATGTAGCCAAAAGATTATTTGACCTAGAGACATAAGATTGACAAATTGATGGAGTGTGGGGGCACCTTTGTCCGACACATTTCTAGTTTGTTCACTAGGTCAAAAGTCAGTCATAATTACCTGATCACATGACTAATTGGCTGCCGATAGGGGAAAGACATGTTTTACAAACATATCTTGTTTTCGTCAGAGTTATGGCCCTTTAATTATCTTCTGTGTTAAAGTTTGTCCAGGCTGCTCTTATATCACTGACGTTATTTGAAATGTAAAGGATATCTCAATAACTTGCACATATTAAACGGGTTTTTGTTTTGCTGAGGTATTGTCTTTAAATAAAAAATACATTAAGGAACATTGATAATTTTATTGATAATTCTTAATTTCTCCATACAGAAAACACTCAAATACCCATACAGTCAATACATTTCCAGCAAAATGTTATTGGCTATTTCCAGGCAAAACATGTGATCACTTATAGCTCTTTTATTATGTTGGACAGATTTGATTTATACTATGACAAAACAACATTAATAAATTTAATTTGAACTTGATCTCTAAATATAATTTACTGTCAAGGTCAGATATGAAATTCAATTATATTTATTCAAAAAATGATGCTTTCTTGGTGTTTTGTTTACTTCAATAATCTTCCTTGTTTTTTATTTAGAAATAAGAAATGGGTTTAGAATGGCTCCCGCTTGATAGTTGCACATGTTTCATTTCATTGTCATCAGCAATTTTAGTCTTAATCATAAAATAAGTATTTCCAAAATGTTCGATATATGAAGAGTACAGTTTTACCATTTAATATATGTTCAGGATATAAATGGGGCGCATTGCTAGTGGCAGGAGAAGATACAGAAGGTTCTTATGATTTTACTGAAAATGTTATCTCCTTCAAAGAAGTTATTACATCAAGAGCTCCACTTATAATGGGAATAAGGTGTAGTATTTATTCTAATTTTGTATTGTAGAATTTTATCCTAATATATAAATTCAAACAAACTTAGCCCTTGAAGTAATGTAATCATTGTTGTTTCATACAAGTGTTTTCTGCTATGCTATGTTTATTTATTAATTGATACATGGTATGTGATATACAAGTTGCAATTATATCTCTTGGGTCAAAATTGGTCCTACTTTGGGGGTTGGGTTGTCATTTGATTTCAATGATGTACAAACTGTAACCTTTAAAAACATCCTCTTTGAAAGTTGTGGGGTATAACTTAGCTTTTTGGCATGAAACTTACTATATTTGTATTCATATTTATTGTTCTATTAGCAGTACTGATCCCGTCCAGGAGAAGTCAATGGTTTTAGTTATATGTATATAGTAAAACAGAGAAATGTAAAAAAGTGAAAAGTGCTACAGGATTGGTTTGATTGTGTCAGGACATGGACAGTCTGAAAAGTGTACGACACTTTCTCTATCACAGGCATATCATTGAACCTTAATCAATTTTTATACGCCTGTTATTAAACCTTTTGGCTGGAGCATATCTCATACACGCATTTGGGGGATTTGACGAAGCTTCATAGAAATGTTCACGACTACGAGAAACCCTGTCACGGGCATGATCCAAAGGTTCAGGTCACAAATTAAGGTCTTTCAAAAATGCTTGGAGCAAAACTAACATGCATAGACGGATTTCAATGTTATTTCGCACCATTTTGATGTAGACCGTTGCGTGCAAAATTCAGGTCCCAGCGGCTACGGTCAAGGTCACATATTGACTCAGGGTCAAAATTCAAATAAAAAATATGAAAATGTGTAGGGACCATTTAGTCATAATTTATTGAGGGATTGTAACACAAACGGTCAATATCATGACGGCATCTGTGAAAATTGCTAATAGGTCAATATATGCAAGGTCAAGATGTCTGAATGTAATGAAACTTTGAGATTTGTCCAGAGCATATCTCCAACACACATGGAGGGATTTTTATGCCCCCACAGAAGTGGGAGGCATATTAGCGTTGACTTGTCCGATCCTGATGTCCGTCCGTCCGTTAGACGTTTTGACTGTCCCTGCCGTCCTAATCTGTCCTGTTACGTCCCGAAATTTGGGTGAACGACAAAACTCCTCTTTAAACCGAAGATTAGGCACAAAGATTTTGCTTAAAAACTTCCAGGGAGATGAACAACCGTTAAAATGTGTGCAGATGGTAGTAAAAAGGAAGGAATTTTAGCTGCGATTAAAAATTTTTACAGAATTATGGCCCTTTGTTGATTTTTTCACTATATACTATGTAGAAATTTTGTGAACGCAACTTCTCTTAAAACCGGATGGCAGATTTTGCTTTAACTTCCAGGGATGAACAACCTTAATGTGTAGATGGTTAGTAAAGGAAGGAATTTTTGCTGCGACCAAATTTAACAGAAATTAGGGCTCTTTGTTGAGTTTTTTCACTATATACTATGTTAGAAATTTTGTGAACGCAAGTCCTCTTAAACCGGATGGCACATTTTGCTTAAACTTCCAGGGATGAACAACCTTAATGTGTAGATGGTAGTCAAGGAAGGAATTTTTGCTGCGACCAAATTTAACAGAATTATGGCCCTTTGTTGATTTTTTCACTATATACTATGTAGAAATTTTGTGAACGCAACTCCTCTTAAACCGGATGGCAGATTTTGCTTAAACTTCCAGGGATGAACAACCTTAATGTGTAGATAGTAGTAAAGGAAGGAATTTTTGCTGCGACCAAATTTAACAGAATTATGGCCCTTTGTTGATTTTTTCACTATATACTACATGTATGTAAAAATTTTGTGAACGCAACTTTTCTTAAACCAGATAGCACATTTTGCTTAAACTGCCAGAGATGAACAACCTTAATGTGTAGATGGTAGTAAAGGAAGGAATTTTTGCTGCGACCAAATTTAACAGAATTATGGCCCTTTGTTGATATTTAGTTTTCAACTTGTGGCACATGTAGTCCAAAAAATATTTGACCTAGAGTCATAAGATTGACAGAACAGTGGCGTGTGGGGGCATCCGTGTCCTATGGACACATTTCTAGTTTTAATAAAATGTTCACATCTATGAGAAGCTGTGTCGCGTGCATGACACCAGGTCTGTAGATCAAAGATCAAGGTCACTCTAAGAGGTCATTTAAAATTGTTTGTCCGGAGCAAAATTTCTACATGCATTGGGGTATTTCAATTTAACTTGGCACAGATATTTATTATTGTAAGGCAGAGTTTGCTGTAACAAATTCATATCCCTTTGGTCTAGGTCAATTATAGGGGTCAAAGTTAAGATTAAAAATTAAAAATGTGTTTAGGGACAATTTAATCATCATTCATTAGATCGACATTTTTTTTTTTGGAAAAAAAGTAGAAGTATTGTAATAGTCCTGGCGGCATTGTCGTCTGCAAACTTGTACCAGGATCATAACTTTTTTTAGTTCTTGGTGTTTTGTTTTTCATACTTCGCCACCAAACCCTTTGGATAAGACCTTTAAGTAGACCATACCAACCTTGACATTCATCCATGAATGACCTTGACCTTTAAATTCAAATGTCCAAATTTTGCTTGTTCTTGCTATTATTGGCTGTAACTTTGATATTTTTTAATAGATTATCTTCAAACTTTAACATAATAATCTTCAAGGATAGTCCTTTAACATAACCAGACAGAACTTGACTCACTCGTACATGACCTTGACTTTGAATGTCAAATTATTGAATTTTACATTTTTTTGGCTGTACCTGGCTGTGACTTTTCTATATTTGAATGGATTGACTTCATATTGTAACAAAACATTTTTAAGGACAAGACCTGCATGTTTATCAAATTCAAATTGACCTTGGCTCTTTTTTGACCTTGACCTTGAAGTTTAAATTATTGAATTTTCACTGATTTGTGCATTAATTGACCATATAAAGATGATGAAATATCTGGATATCTCCCACATGCATGGAAGAATTCTTATGATACTTTATAGAAATGTTCACCACCATTAAATGATTTGTTGGGTTCCTTGTTTGTATATACATTTAGTTAAAACTTTAAAAAGCCAAATATGCCAAAAAAAATGTTTTTTTTTTAGCTCACCTGTCACAAAAGTGACAGGGTGAGCTTTTGGTTGAATCGCTTTTTCGTCCGGTCGCGCCGGCGTCTGTCCGTCGTCCGTCCGTAAACTTTTACTTTAAATGACACATCTCCTCATAAACCACTAAGCCAATTTCATCCAAACTTCACACGTTGTTCCTTTGGTGGTCACCTTTAAAAATCGTTCAAAGAATTTAATTCCATGCAGAACTCTGGTTGCCATGGCAACCGAAAGAAAAAACTTTAAATATCTTCTTTTAAAAAACCCAAAGAGGAGCTAGAGCTTAGATATTTGACATGAAACATCTTCTAGTAAGTGTCTACCAAGTTTGTTCAAATAAAAGCCCTGGGGTCAAAATTGGCCCTGCCCCAGGGGGTCAATGATTTTCCCTATATATACATAATAGTAAAAACTTAAAAATCTTCTTTTTAAAGAACCCATGGAGCTAGAGCTAAGATATTTAGCATGAAACATCATCTAGTAAGTGTCTACAAGTTTGGTTCAAAATGAAAGCCCTGGTGTCAAAATTGCCCCGCCCCGGGGGTCAATTGATTTTCCCTATATGCATATAGTAAAAACTTAAAAAATCTTCTTTAAATAACCCATAATGAGCTGGAGCTAAGATATTTAGCATGAAACATCCTTCTAATAAATGTCTCCCAAAGTTTGTTAAAATTTAAAGGCCCCTTTTGGGTAAAAAATTTGGCCTCGTTCCCGGGGTTCTTTGATTGCCCTTTATATGTTTAAGTAACAATTTAAAAATCTTTTTTTTTAAAAAACCCCAAAGAGCAAAGTGTTTAGATCTTTCTAAGCCTAAAAACTTCTTTTAGGAGACCCACCAATTTTTTTTCAAATAATAGCCCTGGGGTAAAAATTTGGGGTCATTATTTTTCCCCTTTTATGGTTAGGTTAAAATTTAAAAAAAAATTTTTTTTAAAAAAACCCAAAAAATAGAGTTTTAGATATTTATCATAAACATCTTCAAATAGGGGGTCTCCCAAGTTTTTTTTCAAATAAAACCCCTTTTTGGGTTAAAAATTGGGGCCCCTCCCGGGGGTTTTATACAAAATAGCGTTTTCAGGATTTTTCATGGCCCTACTTGTTTCTCAAAAGATTTTTTAGCTCACCTGAGGATAATGTCCTCCAGGTGATCTTTTGTGATGGCCGATTGTCCGTCGACCATTGTGTGTCCGTGAACAATTTCTTCAAACAACTCCTAAACCACTTGGCCAAATTTTTGGAAACTTTGCAGGGGTGTTTTTTTCATGAAGCTCTACCAAAGTTGTTTAAAGAATTAAATTCATTGAAGAACTTTGGATGCCATGGCAACCGAGAGATTTTTTTAAAAAAAAAAATCTTAAAAAATCCTCTTGTCAAAAACCACAAGATTTAAAACTTTGATATTTGGTATGTAACATCATTTAGTGGTCCTCTACAAAGATTGTTCAAATTTTGCCCCAAAGGTCAAAAGAAGCCCCGCTAGGGGGCTCATCAGTTTTTTAAAATAATAAAGGGAAATCTTAAAACCATCTTATTGTCAAAATCAACAAGGCGCAGAACATTGATATTTGATATGTAACATGATCTATTTGTCCTCTACTAAGATTTTCAAATTATGACCTTATGATGAAAAGGGGCCAGCTAGAGGGCTCATCGATTTTTAGCTCACCTGAGCATATGCTCAGGTTGAGCTTTTAGGATCACTCTTCGTCCGTCGTCCGTCGTCCGTTCACACTTTTAAAACGACATCTCCTCTGAAACCATAAGGCAGATCATAATGAAACTTCACAGGGATGTTCCTTGTGTAAAGCCTTAACAAAGTTGTTTAAATAATTCCATTCCATGCAGAACTCTGGTTGCCATGGCAACCAAAAGAAAAAAACT